TGCAACACGTGGAGAAATATGTCTAGTTGTTGTAAGTAAGTATGTATCATGTAATTTACACAGTCACAAAGACTGTATTAATATATATTAATGCTTTCCCAGCTAAAGCTTTGCTGCTAGCAAATTAGTGGCTAACTGAGTATAAAATATCTATAAATAAATTCTATACTGCTGAATCAGCTGTGCTAGTATTTTATTAACCAAGTCAAGATGAGGATGGCATTCTTATTTTAAGGTTAGGGCTAATCCATCATACTTTTGTCATGGCTGCAGGGATCAATCACTTCGCACATACACCTAGCAAAGAATGGTTTGAAATAGATGCAGTTCTGCGGGTTAGCTTGGGAAATTTTGTCTTTTTCACTATTCTAGCAATTCTAATGATTGGTGTGAGGAGCCAGAAGGATCCTCGTGATAGTTTGCACCATGGAGGATGGATGATGAAAATCATATGTTGGTGCCTTTTGGTCATTTTCATGTTTTTCCTTCCAAATGAGGTTATTGACTTGTATGGTAAGTAGTTCCTATAATTTAGTTTAAGTTATTTAATTTTGAATTGATTTTCTACAGTAAAGTCCCCATGCATAGTAAGCTATGTGAATGTGAACTTGAGAGTGCTAAGTGCTAACGCAATAATTATTTTGATTTCTACCGTAGATCCACTGTGCAATTTTTTTGAGGAATTGTATAATGATTTGAGTTTTTATGAAGTATAAGGACATTGTTACTGGCGCATCTGGATGGAGCTATTTGCAAAAGAGTGATGGGAGCATCATTCTTGGTTCATGCCTTGAAGAATTCTATTATTTTTATTCTGTTATATCTTGTAACAAGCCATCTTCATGTCCAATGAGAATCATGGTTGTCAGCTAATGCAGTTTATCATATTGGAAGGCCTATCTTTTGGATGGTGGAGAAACTTGAATTATGGATGATTTAAATTCTGAAAATAATTTTACGTTTTTGTAAGTAATATTAGTGTATATATTTTCCTAAAAAGAAATCATTATTCATAGGCTAGTTTAAGACATTTTTTGATAACATTAATGCACTATAACTGTAAATTGACCCGCCAATACAAGATCCTTTTAGTTCTAGGTAAAATATATAATATGCTGAAGTCTAATTTTCAACATTGATTTAAGTTTTAATTACGTAATTGTTAGAATTACCTGCTCAGGCTTATCAGGGGTATAATTCGTACTTACCAGTCTATTCATATTAAAGCAGATTATGAATTGAAGGAGTTTAATAAAGATAGGCCTTTTCATTGTATTCTTTTGAGTTTTGACATGCCAATCTTCCTGTGTTCTGATTCTGATGAAATTTCTGTTGTTTCCAGAAACGTCATCAAAGTTTGGCTCAGGTTTGTTTCTTCTTGTTCAAGTTGTGCTGCTGTTGGATTTTGTTCATAGATGGAATGACACATGGGTTGGATATGATGAGCAGTTCTGGTGAGCTTAGCCTTTTGCTATACTAACTTATCTTCTCTGATGTAATTTGCTTTACTTGACATGACAAATTTTCAATTATCTCCTCATTATTTTTCTTTTATACAGGTACATTGCTCTGTTTGTGGTTTCTCTCGTTTGTTATGTGGGCACATTTGCATTCTCTGGAGTTCTCTTTCACTTCTTCACAGCATCTGGACAGGACTGTGGCCTCAATACCTTTTTTATTACCATGACCCTGATTTTCGCGTTTGTTTTTGCTATAGTTGCTTTGCATCCTGCTGTAAGTTCATCGTTTGATTTCATTATAACTAACCTTATTGATTTGATTTCTTTAGGTCAATGCAAATTTGTTGATTGTGTTGTCTTATGCTATCAGATTGCCCTTTTTTGTTTTGGTTTAAGCGCTGGTTGAATGTGTTGCATATTATCCTTGTTTTCTTCTGTGCTATTTATACCATTTTATAAACGTTTATCATGTGTAAATGAGGATTTAGATCATGGTAAATCCAGCTGAATATTAGCCGGGGATATGTTCTTGCTACTGAAGGGCATGATCTGTACCTTTTATAGCTTGTCTGGTCTTGTTTCTTTGGGATAAACTTATTTTACAGAAATGTACTTATGATTGTTTTGGAGCCTTTGGCTGTACCTGTTAAAAAAATAGGATACTTTTGAGTGGTAGCATTTTTGTTTTGGGTCATTTTAAATTATTAGGAAAATTGATTTATATGTGGTTTCTTATGTATTTGCTATTGGGAATCCCAATTTAAACAGAGCAAGTATCATGTTTGGCAAACAAATGTATAATTTCTTAATTAAACTTCCATATTTTATTTGGAAAATCTGATGTCAAGATGTAAGGAGCTGGACCTAAGTTTAATCCAATCATTAATTATCTGTTATTTCTTACAATTTTACATTAAGTCTACCTCATCCAAAGAAAACATGGCTTTTTAATAATTTAACTATAAAAAGCACTTCTTGGACAGTTTTGCTGAACTCATTAATATTGATAACCTGATAAAATTTTAAACAAAACTACTTTTTTGAATAGATTTCTTTTAAACTTTCACTTGGGGATGGGGTTCGTCAGAATGAGTAAAAATCTGCATGCATGTTAATCAGTCTTTAAATTAATCTCTTTGCATGACCTTGTTGAATCGACTTATTTTTTGACAGGTAAATAGTAGCATCCTGCCTGCATCGGTGATATCCTTATACTGCACTTATCTCTGTTATAGTGCACTGGCCAGTGAACCAAGAGATTATGAGTGCAATGGTCTTCACAAGCACTCAAAAGCTGTTTCCACTGGCACCCTTACCTTAGGTTTAATTACAACCGTTCTGTCTGTTGTCTATTCTGCTGTACGAGCTGGATCATCGGCTGCAGTGCTTTCTCCGCCAAGTTCACCTCGTGCTGGTAATTGCTGAAATCCAAAGTTTTCAGTGCAATAAAATGCCACATTCAAAAGTATGACTGCATCATAACATTTTCAGAGACATCAATGCCCTGAAAGAAATCATGATTGATTTGTCATATTGATAGTCATTAGGAATTGCATCACATTTCCTGTTTAGCCACAGATGCTAGCTAATAACTGGTAATCTGGTTTTTGTCTGCAGGGAAGCCTTTGCTTCCTATGGATGCCAAGGAGGAAGACGAGAAGGAAAAAGCAAAGCCAGTTACATATTCGTATGCCTTTTTCCATTTGATTTTTTCTCTTGCTAGCATGTACTCTGCAATGCTTCTGATTGGGTGGACAACCTCTGTCGGGGAGAGCAGCAAGATAGTAGATGTTGGGTGGCCTTCCGTGTGGGTTCGCATCATCACTAGCTGGGCAACCGCTGCACTGTACATGTGGTCTCTTGTTGCTCCTATCCTCTTCCCCGATCGGGAGTTCTAAGTGCCCTGCTACTCAGCTGCAAGGTTCTGGAGAAGGGTTCATGTCTCATCAAAGTACCAACTACTCTATATATATATATATATATATATTGGTTTGCTGTGGTGTGTCACTTCTATTATCATATCATGTGTGCCCTGGAATAAATGTTGTTTGACATAATGCCGGTTTCCAAGTGACCAAACTTGCTTGTATAGTTAACTGTTTGATACCCAGAAGGATTTGTTGCTCTATTATCCTCAAGGACTAATGGAAGGCTATGATGAACTTTGTTTACTTTACCATGAGGCTTGCCCATGTCGGTGATCAAATTAGTAATTAGTAATTGAGGTAACGTAAATTAAGAGAGCATTGCTTCCGGGTTAGGCCGATAGATATAGAAGCATGAATTGCTTACCTCTATGTTTGAATGGGTAATCAATCATTGCTCTGCTAACAGCCGAAATGCATGGATATGGTTGCAGGAAAAACGTATAGTTAGCCACGAAAAATCCCTTCCGATTATATAATGAGTGATTTCCTTATGTATGTTTCATTTTATTTTGTAAAAATTACATAAATATGAAATATACACACGTGTTTTAATATAAACTCATCTTTATTGAAAGTTGTTCTACTAAAAATATGTATGAGGATCATTAGTTAAAAAAATGTGTGTAGATTAATGGATGATATTTTAAAAAACTAAACCAAAATTAAATCATAGCTTTAATTCTTATTCCATAATTTTATAATTTTAACAAAATAAAAATATATATAGTTTGCTTATAGCTTTTAAGAATGGGTATTTATGATTCAGTTTCATGTAAGTGGAAACCAGGGTCTCATGTACTGTAATTTGTAGGCAGGGAGTATAATAAAGAATTAACCGAATTATTTATAATTTATAAATATTCTGGTTTGTTAAAATTTTTTGTAATATGTATGCATACATGAATGGACTACTTGTCGCCCAAATCTTACGTTTTGACTTCGAAGACTTTTAGATCCAATTGTCAAATGCCGATTTTTTTAATTATTATTCTAAAACATGCCATTAAAATGGAGCTATTATGTTTATAGAAGTACTTAAAGTTGTTTATCAATGAAGTCATCATCGTAGAACTGAATCTCACCATCTGGTGGATTATAAATAAAATGGTCAAGATTTTTATAATGAACCAATCCCTGTTGGTTAACTCAATAACATTTTAAAATTTATTTTGATAAATCTAATCCGTTTTTATTCAGGAAGCCAATTATTCAATAGTTTAGGTAGAATCAATAATTCGGATCAAGTTTGAACCCGCTTAAAATAATTAGGGCCGAATTTAATTATATTAATTTTTTTTAAGAAGATAAAATATTTTAAGTTGAATCTGAATAAGTCCAATTCGAATTAAACTCGATTCGAATAAGTTCGACAGTTAAAATTTTCGATTCTATATACATATAAAGTTAATAATTTTGGATGGGCTAGCGTGAAATTAATTAAAAAAATTTAAGATTAAATTTAGTTATATAATTTTTTTAAAAAATAAAATATTTTAAATTTAATTTAAATAAATTCAATTTAAATTGAGTCTGATTAAATAAACTTGATGCGCCCAAATTACGCCTTTCACACCTAAAGTTTTGGGACCGGAATAGGCTTATCTAAGTAACCAAATATGTCCCACCAATAGGCGAGATCATCAAAGTCGAGGACTTGGAGAACAGAAACGAACATTCGATCTCGAGGGTGTGAGAGAGGAAGTGTAGAAGTGAAAAGCAAAATCAGGGAAGATGGGAGGAGGAATGGAAGCCCACAAGAACAGGTTCATAGAGGATTGGAGCACTGCTAGAGAGAATCTCGAGCACAACTTCCGATGGACTCGCCGCAACTTGGCCCTCGTTGGTATCTTCGGAATCGCTATTCCCGTCCTTGTCTACAAGGGAATTGTTAGAGAATTTGTATGTCCCTCAATCTTTCTCTGTCATTTTCTCTTATTTTTCATTTGAATGATTTCTTTTGTTTTATGATTTGATGGCCATTTGCTTCTGCTTTGGGATAGATCCATCGATGCCCTAAGATAGTCATGTTCACGTGTGATAGTTCTGTGAAAGAATATTTGTAGCAGCCTATGGTTAAAGATGCCCCCTTTTCTCTTGTATGCGAATTTTTCACTTATGAAGTAACTTTCTGGGAAAAGACATTGGTAGAAATGTGGGATGCATGGATATTTGAGGCTGCTTTGAGGGAACTTAAGGATTTTTGTCTGGAAAGGTCTGGAGTAGCATGGATGATGTGGCAGGACATAGTGGGTAGGGTTGCTGGACTTATAAGCAATGGGTTAACTTCCCACTGTTTCTATCTTGAAAAGAATTGCGTGTTGGGAGTGATAAGAATGCGGATACATGATAGAATATAGATGATGCCCTAAACTGGTTGTGCCTGTATTATTACAGAATTCACTAATCTGCACTTAATTTCCTCACCTGGTCCTGAGGACTTGGAGCTTTTATTGTAGATTTAGCTGGTTTTGGGTTTGGATCTTGGAATCTTGGTCTTGATATGGGCATTTGGAGGTGTTGATGAGGTGGGTGGAACGTGTAGTCTTGAGCCTTGAGTCTTGTAACGAGAGGTAGAGAAAGATCAAAGAAAACACTTAATAAAGTTGTTGAATGAGACATTTTGATTAACAACATACTCAAAGTCTTGGTTGTTGATAGGGTACAATGATGTTTAGCTATCCATGTAGTTGGCCTCACTTAGTGAGATAAGGCTTGTCGTCGTTTGCTAATCTTGATATGGGCATTTGGAACTACTCTCTTTCCCCCTCCTCATGCCACGTCATTGCATTATTAAATTTGAGCATCTAGTTTACAAGTTCCTACTTTGTGTGAGGATTTGAATGAGAATCTTATATCTTTCCTGTTAGATTGTGAACTACTTGGATTTTGATTGGTACAACAGAAGTTTTTTAGTTGTTGAAATGGTGAATAAGCTCAGCTGAGCACTTGCAACTGTCTTGTCTATGCAGTTTGGAAGTATGAGTGCTTTATCTTAATTAATGGTTTTATTGCAATATCTAGACTTCACTGGGTTGTCATGAAATGGATGGCTACCAGCAGTCTACAGACACTACTATTAAATACAAAATAGATAAATTTCAACATCACATATGATTTCTTTAAAGGATCCTTGCCTATATACTGGATTTTTCTGGTTGAAAATGATGTGAGTTTTACATCCTGCATAAACTTCATCCTTGGTTATACCTATGCTGCTAAATAAGATTTGAGCTTTATTTGGCTCTCTTTTGGTTGATCTTTGTTGGGACATTGATACTCCTTAGTTTCTATATGGTAGGATATATTTCTCAAAATTTTCGTTAATGCTGTTTCCTATATACTATGTGCAAGAAAGTTTGTTCCTTGTGTCTTACAATCATTTTGTTGCGTTTACAGCATATGCAAGACGAAGATGCAGGTCGACCATACAGGAAGTTCCTGTGAGAATTTGACAAATGCTTTGCAATAATTGTGGGACTTACGAAAATTAGACCTTAAATGAAACCACAAGCGTGTGCGTTTTCTTCCCGGACTAAGTGTTTTTCTATTTTATCTCTTGGGGTAAAAACCGAAGATCTTGTGGACTTGATTACATTGCAGGTTACGTGATTTCTATTTTGGTAGAAAAGAATCACCGTGTCATCTTTTTGTTCTGTGTTGTTTCACTCATCATGACAACAGCTTCACCACACCAATAAACAGTCGTAGCTTTACTCTTCATATGAATCCAGCAGAGGCTCTTTCTTGTTTTTTGTTCATTTTTTTTTTTTTAATGAACAAAGGGAGAATTACAGATGCTAAGGATAAACCATAAGGTAAAAAGGGCCAACGATTAGAAACATTTTGCACATTAAATTGATCAGCAATTAACAAGGTGATGTCGAAAAAAATGAGGTCTGTTCATATTTTGGGTGTCTTGAGCAAACCATTTTACATACTTTTCCAAACACATGGTTATAGATGACTGATCTAATAATTATGTTCTTCATCTCATTGAGGGCGTTTCTTTGTAAATGTTGGCACAGATATTTTGTGGAGACAAGTGTCAATGCATCAACTGGATTAGCACATAGCATAATTTTTTGTATTATAGCTCACAACAATGTCGAAGTGGCGCAGAGAGAAACAAATTAGGATCGAAGGATTGACACTTGTTTCCACGAAACATTTGAGCCAAGACTCATGAAGAAGCACTCAATGAGATAAAAAGTAAAAACTTAAGCCAATCTATCTCCATCAGCTCAGCCATTCCAGAAGAGACTTGAGGTTCATTTATTGCTGTTCGGTGTCTATCGCGATATTACAATAACTAGAGCACAATTTGGCAGACTAACATACATTGCCATGACAATAAACCGTTGGCGAATTCAATGCTCTGCTCATATAATGGAAATCCAAAGGAGTGGAATTTTAGGTTGGAATATACGCGCAACGTGCTTAAACATCAGGATTTGAATGGGACTTGCCACTTTCAGATATGTTTCCAATGTGGTTTGTTATTGTTGTTGGGGTTAAGGATCATTTTTTATTTTGAACCATACACAAAAGGTTACAAATGACTCTAGATTCAATTATAGGTCAATTTAGCATTATATTTTTTTAAATGACCCTAGACTCAATTATAGGTCAATTTAGCATTATATTTTTTTAATATTTTTTATTATAAAATATTTGAGTTAAGGGTGTTCATTGACTCTTCGAATAGAATTGGGAGGCAAAAATGACTCTTAACCTAAAAAAATATTAAAGAAATAGTAGGTTCTAATGATGGATATTGATAAAAAGAATCTTTAAAGTTGACAGATATAATTTAATTTAGAGTCATTTGTGATTTTTTGTGTATAGTTTAGAAACAAAAATAATCTTTAACCTTTGTTATTACTCTCTCCTAATGATATTATAAGACATCTTTTAGAAAAGATTGATAGTCATTAATTGATAAGTTATTAGGTATTTTTAATATACTTCTATTTCAACTCATTAACTATAAAAGATTGCAGTTAAATATAAGAAAAATTAGAAGTTTATTTTATTTCTAAATAAAGTTAATAACTTAATCATCTCTCCTTAATTAGGGTAAAGTGATTAAAGGTACCTTATCATAAGTACAAGATGAAGTATTTGCTTGAGTGCTATGCTGAATGTCCTATATTTGACGTGTCTTGTTCTTCAATCATTGGAAATCATGGTGTAGAATAAATTTGGTAGGGTTACAACTTCCATCTATCTTAATCATATAGCACATTGAAACATGTTATGGAATGAGATCACATAACCAACCACCTGCAATGAAATCTATGGTCTCTATATTTTCACGAGCGTCTGATGAAATATGAATATTCTGCCTTCCCTCTTGGATTCACATGTATGCAATAGATATTCGGTGCTTCTCATGTTGTTTTGATTATTAATTCCCTTCTACCCACCGATTCTACAAATCACCATATATGTCATTTATCATGGGTTGGGTAGGTGTCATCATCATGAATATTATGATATTCCTTTATTGCAATTCTTCTTCTAATTTTATTTATAAATTACTTTCAGCATATTTTGTTAGAATCAAAAATCTCAACCTTTATTTTTAATAAATTTTTTTAAATTTCATTATTGATATTTTTATTTAAAACATGTAATAAAGACAAAAATATAAAAGAATATTAAAAATTGACAATTTTTTTATGAATAGAACCAAAATTTTCTCTCTACTGTATAGTATGTAATTATTTTAGTCTTTTACCCCATCTAAAGCGGACAAAATGCTTCTGTACTTTGGTGGGCGAGCGGCACCGTTAACTATATTTGGTTTCATACAATTACTCGAGCCACTTTAGTGTTATGCTTGAACGTTTCTTTTATTTTTTTTAAAAAAAAATTAATCACTTGATTAATATAATTTTGACTCCAATATAATTCAGTTCTTAATTTTTAATTTGATGTAATTCAGTTATTATAGTTTTAGTTATTTAAAATATTTGGCTCTAAGCTTTAAAAAAATAATTTGTGATTTTTTAAATATAAAGACAAATATTTTAAATAATTAAAATTATAGGGATTGAATTATTAGTTGTTGCTATTATCATTCTTCCTCTTATTTATTATGACTCTCCCATCTAATATTATAAGACATTTTTAACTAAATACACCCCCAATAAATTAGTTAATAGTTAATTTTCTTTAAAATTACACATTCTTTCTATGTTTATCCTATTTAATAAAGTGTCTCAATTAAAAAATATTGTTAATTATATCCCTAATTAAGGATATTTTTTGAAAAAAAGCTCATTTAATTGCACCTTGAAAAAATCCAAAATACTTTATATTTTTTAATATTTTACCTTAAGAAATGTCTTATGTTATTCTTTAACACCTTACTTTAAAATAACATCTCATAATCTAGATTAAATGAGATAATCTTGGTTGTTGTTTTTGTTGTATTATTATTAATTTTAATAAAAAAATTGGGGTCACCACTCCTGTGTTCGTACATGTAGTTAAATTTACACTTTGAAATCTATACAAATTTCATGCTCAGGAAGGAACCAAAACCAAGCATCAATAGTGTGCATTGGGCTGTATCGAAGATTCAACCTTTTATATGTTCGTTTCCCAATTTGTCAACTAATATGGTCCAGAATCCCACACCACAATCCACATGATAAATGGGAAAAGCAAGCTCGTTTTGCAGATCTCTTCCGAATATTATTCAATAAGATGTGGTACTTCCAACACCAGTGGGAACGGACAAGCGAGAGACACAAACAGACAGACATTTGTCGGTGGGTCATGCATGGCCACACAGGTCCAGAAAAAACTGGGTGGTTAGAGAGAGAAAGAATGTAAAGATATTGCGATGTTGTGGTACAGCCTTGCCCTGCCTTTCCCTCCTCGCTTGATCTACGTTCAGTCCAACTACATTTCACACCGCCACCATGTCGGTGGCATCATTTTTTTTCTATTTCACTTCCCGCCCTTTTGGTTTTTGGGGCTCTTTATGAAGTGGGAAATAGATTCAGCCTTTCTGTAATCAACTTTGTTCACCAATCACCACCCCAGTTCATTACTATCGAAGGCCATTTCATGTGATTCTAGTTTTGCTAGTGAAGCTGCCGGTTGTTGATTTGCATTTACTTTAGCTTTCCTGTTTTATTTTTCTTCTGTAATCTGTTGACTGTTTTAAATGCTCCGTGTTTTCTCCCCCTTCATCGGACCACATTTTTGTCACCTAGGGGCTAAGAGGGCTTTGTTATTTGTTGTCTTTGATTTTTGAACTTTTCATTTTCATCTCCTGGACATTGTCATCCTCCGAAAGAATCAAGCTTGCCCTTCACTGGCATTGCTTCCCTCCTCTTTCTTGGGAACATTCCCTTCAAATCCAAGTTTAAAATTCTGGGGAAGCTCCTTTTCGTTTCGGCATTGTCTTCTATTTTGGTTTCTGTAGACCTGAGCTGTAAGAACAATGTGCAAAACAAGTAAGAGTTCATTAGTCATGAAGCTATGGTGGGTGTTTGGGTTTGTAGGATTGGTGATTATCAAAGTGGTCGAAGGTTTCGACAATGCCAATGTGACAGACATGGATTCTGTCAAGAGAATGGGTTTCAATAACCGGCCCTTGATGGTCGGTATTACTCTTATTAATGGAGCTGCTGCCAAAGGCGCTGGTATTTCTTCTTCCTATCTAACCGCTTTCTCTGCATTTATTTCCCATTGCAAATGAGCTTTCCTTTTGTTTTGCTTTGTTCCTTTTTTTCTTTTGTTATTTTTTTTTACCAGAATGTGTTTTTGGCTCTCTTTTTTTAAATCTTTTGCACAGATACTGTTAAATCTGCTTGTTCTTGTTGAGGGGGGCACATGGCCATCAATCGTTATTTTGTTCTTATGGTAGCTTTATTCATAGCATATTGTTAGCTTCACCTATGAGATTGAGCATGGAACAGCTAATTCAAGCCATGGTGCCTACGCCATCATCATATAAACATTAAGAACTATGAAGATTTAACCATTGATGAGCAACGAAGTCCCTATTATTACCAGTAACAAAGCTATAAGTATTTTTTTTGGAAAACATAACTTTGGGTCCCTACACTTTGCTTGAATTTTGTTATAAATCTCTGTATTTTTTTTTTCGATGTTTAAGATTTCTACACTTTTTTTTTAGCGTTTTAAGTCTCTATAACACCACTCATAGAAGGGCTTAGAACATGGAATAAAAAGCGTAGAGACTTGGGCCACAAAAAAAAAAAATGCAGGAATATGTAACAAAACTCGAGCAAAGTGCAAAGATTTAAAGTTATGTTTCTCCTTTTTTTTTTCCTTGTTTGGGTTTACTTTAACTGAGACTCAGAGACTGACACATCTAAACTAATTTTTCAAAAATTATGGTTTTAATTTAATTGAGATCTTGTGTTCGATATATCAACTTTCAAAATTTTAAAAGCACTATGCAGGTCACTGCTTTGAAATAAATTGAACTTTATCAGATAATTACCCACTATCATATACTATAGCATGACTTGCATTCTCCATGTTCAGTCTGCCTGGATGGATCTTTACCTGCTTACCATCTTCACCGTGGTTATGGTTCTGGATCAAATAGTTGGCTTATACAATTGGAGGTGTGTGTTTTTCTGTTCAATTTGTTGCCATATCCTCTTTTTTAATTTTATAATAGAGTTGGTGAGTGATCATGCCTTGATCAGCTGACATGTTTAAGCTAATGC